GTAAAGAATTAAATGTGGGCTCTTCCACGGATGAGCTTTGTGACTTTGGGCAAGTTACTCAACCTATCTGCTTAGGTTTCCTCATCTGTAAGACAAAGATAATATCTGCCTCATAAGGTTGTTGCTAAGATTAAACAAATTAATACGTGTAAAGCATTTAGTATCTGGCACACAGTATCACAGCATAAGCATTAACAGATATAGTTATTTAAAAACAATCGACAGTCAAGAAGGAAAAACACCACATGAAAGTGAGCCTGTATTCTGAGGAAACAACGACCTTTGGGCACAAGGGAGTTTTTTTGGCGGCTTCAGAGAGTTCAGATCCTCTCAGTGGAAACTCGGCCCTGGTAGCAGTGGGGGAAACTCCATGGCAGCAAGTTTGTGAGTGTTATTGAAATAGATTTTTAGATATTTTCAGAACCAGAATATCACAAATGTACCCTGAGTTTTTACTGCAGTCTGTGTTTTTTCATATTCTTATATAAGTAAACCACCTACAGCTTTTAGTCCACATATAAAATTAAAGAAATCATTTTGCCCACTAAACCACTTGAAAGCAAATTCTGGCACATGGGGCAGGGGTGATAACAAGCACAAAGGCCCAAAAACTCTTCCTTAAAGATGAACTTAATACATCACGTGCATGGATGTGTGTGCATACAGGGGCAGCAAACTACGGCCGGCTGCCTATTCTTGTATGGCCTGCAAACCAAGAATGCTTTTTACCTTTTTAAATAGTTGAAAAAAAATACAAAAAAGAATATTTCATGACACATGAAAATTATATGAAATTCAAATTTCAGTGTCCATAAATAAAGTTTTATTGGAACATAGCTACATTCCTCCATTTATGAGTTGTCTCTGGCTGCTCTGGGGCTACAATGGCAGAGTTGAATAGTTGCAGCAGAGATCTGACTATACGGCTTGAAAAGCCTAAAATATTTATTCTCTGGCTCTATACACAAAAGGTTGGCCACTGCATGTGTGATGGGAGTAAATTAACCTTTCAGACGTGATTCTCCAAATGAGACTAAACTGTCCTATTTAACTCTGATAATATTCACTTTTAGTTCCCTAACAGAGATGCTTCCCCCAAAACCAGTGACTCTTTGAATGGTGGTCCATTTCTCAAGAGAAACTAACTTCTAATGCTTCGTAGTACAATACTCTAAGGAGCTCAAATGAGTACATGTTTGAAAACGTGAACCCACCCAGAGTTGCATCTTATGGAAAATTTAGCCCTGCCTACAATTTCTTATGCAGTCTACTCATGAAATGAAAAGTGTAGAAGTAGAATAGAAAAGGAACTAGAATTCATCAAACAGCTACCATGCCAAACACATGACATTATTTTTTTTCAGGTCTTCATAACAATTTTATGAAGTGGAAATTACTGTCCCCATTTTACTGAGCTAAGGACTGAGGTTAAGCAATTTGGCGAAGACAATACAGCTAGTCAGTGGCAGAGCCAGGATTTGCACCTAAGTGTGACAATCCAAAGCCTCAGTTATTTCCGCTAAATCAAGAGCCTTCAAATATTATGATCACGACTCACAGTAAAAAGTGCATCTTACTTCCTGATACAGGATACAGATAGGTAAATACATACAACTAAACAAGTTTTGTGAACCACTGCTTATCTTTAAAATGTGCACTGTACTCTAATTCCTATTCTAGTCTATAAGTTAAAAACTGATGGTCACAACCAACAAAATTATTTTCACAACCTACTAATAGATCACCATTATCTGCTATCTAAAAAAAAAATCACTGCACTAAATCATAGTGTTTCTTTCTCAGAATAAAATGATTCTCAATCTAGGGAAGAACATTAGGTTCTTTAGTTACTATAAAATCTGGTCCACTTGCCAGATGTGCACTTGCCACTTGCACATCTGCTTTGCGACAGCAAAATCAGAATAACTGCATGTTAGATGTTTGTCAGAGGTTATCAAATGCTGTTGTGGGACAACTGGTTTGAAGAGCATTTTCCAAGTACTTTATATATATGTGTTCAATCTTTATAACAACTCTATGAGGTAGATACTATTATTATCCCCATCTCACAGGTGAAGAAATAAGCACAGAAATCTTAGTTGATTTGCCCAAGATCGCACAACAAGCGATCAGCTGAGGCGGGATGCAGACCCAGGTGGCTTGGCGCCAGAGTTCACACTCACTCTGCTCAAGCACCATTCGCTTCACACCTGGGTCACGTCAGTTTTTCAGGGAAACAATTTCAACAGAATTGACCTAACATTTAACTTCTGACTTATTAAGAACAAGCCATATAAAGAATAGTTCCATATCTTTAATAAAAGTGCAGTATAATATATTAATTATACTGTCACTGTTCCCTATGTAAGGGAAAATCTGGTCTCTCCTGGTGCAATATATGCTTTATTTTATTAGAAAATAAAAGTTATACAACATCTTGATTCCATTTTTTGTCAGAGTTTACCTTGGGCTTAGAGTTAAATTATGCATTTATCATTAACATATAACAGCTAATTCCTCATGCTATGCTCTCCCATACACCAGCCTATCTTCTTCCTTACATTCAGTAGCACTATGCTAGGACAATTAGAAGTGAGACAGGTATGTCCCATGCTTTCATTGAGCTAGAATATTTAATGGGGGAGGCATGCACTAAACAAATAATTGCATTATTAATGACAAGTATAAGTTCTAGAAAGGAAAAACACAGCATGCTTTGAGAGCATACTACTTGAGAACCCAATCTAGTGAACATGGCCAAGACATCCTTAAAGTAATGACATGTATGCTGGACTATAAAGGGTGGGAGGGAATCCTCCTGCCTAGAGGGATTTCTAGGGAAAGAGAAGAAAATGTAGAAGATCCTGAGGAAGGAAGGATGGCTCTTCTAATAAAATTGGGTTATTTGCCAACAGGAACTGATAGAACACCCCCTGCTGACACCTGCCCAGGACACTGCTAAGACAGGGAAAGGGGAGCACTGCCCGGCTTACATAACGAAGGGTGGTTCTGCTCTAGGCGGGAGGGTGGTGCAGTGGTTCTCAGCGTCGGCTACCCACTGGACTTCTAGGGAGCTGTCTCAAGGAAAGAGGCCAGGGAGCGAGAAAAAAGAAGAACCCATTTAAATCCCATATGTCCTACCCGAGGTGAAAAAAGAAATTGGAAAGCTGGAGAAGACTGTTACAGTAGGGTGATCCTACTGATCTATTTCATAGCATCTACAAATACACACACAAGAGCCAGCATTGTTTTGTTTTGTTTTGTTTTTCATTTCTGATCCTATGAAAGGAGAAGTATTGCTGCCATATTGAAGAAACCGAGAACTCATAAATATTACCATTTTACAGGAGTGAAAAATGGCAACAGGTAAAGCACAGAGAGAAAAAAAATCTTCCCTGGAGTTTTTGCCTTTGTGGCCAATCAAGATTTGTTAAAATGAATACAGAATTCAGAAGACAATTAGCACTGATAATTTAAACGTTTAACAATTCATTTGAAGTTGTTTTATAAACACAGGGTGTTTTCTGGTTCCCTGCCCTTTTTGTGACTACAATGCTTTTCTTATTTACACTCCTTTGCCATAGGACAAATATGGCCAATAAAAATCAATTGGAGCTTTCCTAATAAAAATAAGGGCAACCATTAATAGCAAGTTTATGATGTACCAGGCACTGTTGTGAAATGTTTTGAATACACGACTCTCTCACTTAATTCATCACAGCCACCTTTTGACCTACTGTCACATCTAGGTCATAAATGAGGAAACTGAACAAAGAAGTCCAGTAACTCTGTGCCAAAGGTCACCCAGTGAGGGATGCCACAGTCAGTTAAACAGACGCTATTCCTCTTGGAGTTCATTCAACCTACTGGATGAACACAGCATATCTTCTGGATCCCAGAGGAAGGCTAAAGAGGATCAAGGAAAAATAACAGCAATCTTACCATTCTTCAGCCTACTGTCATTTCTCAAATGAGAATAGGGCTGAGTTGAATTAGACTGGCAGAAGAATAGGTTAAAAAGGGAAGTAGGCCAGTTATAATAACCAGTGGTTATAAACTGGTATACAAAGAAATATACCAGTGGTTCTAAACTTTAGTGTGCCTCAGAATTTCCTGCAGGTCTAGTCAAAACACAGATTGCTGGGCTCCACCCACAGAGAGAGTTTCTGATTCAGCATGTCTGGGGTAGAGTTGGAGAATTTGCATTTCTAACAAGTTCTCAGCTAATGCTGCAGGCTAGGGACCACAATTTGAGGACCACTGCACTCTACGTACTACATAAATTCACTCTCTTACGGAGCTATAGTAAATAAAACCACACACTTTCCCTCAGGAACTAGAAAATAAATTAAAGGGCTCCTTTAGAGGTTAAAGAGATGTGGAATTTTCAAAGAAACATTTAAAAAGTTTTTCCTTTACTATATTTTTAAACATAACATTTGGTACATACAAAAATATATGTAAGATACATAAACTGTAAAAACCATATGACTCATACCTAATTCATATTGTGGCAATCAATGTCTTCAAATACAACTGACAAACTTCCTTTAATATTAAACTATGTTTATTTTTGTAACCGCCGAATATTCTTATGACATTTAATTTTTGAAGAATATATATAACTTTCATAATTAACATACATAGTATAATAGGCTAAATTTTAAATCTTTTTTTCATTGCTTATTCCACAATTTTCACTAGTGAATCAACACTACTGTTACTGAAGACTAATCTAACAGAATGTATGAAGTTTGACAACAGAAATAATTCAAACTTTCCAAGATATACTGTAAAACTACTAAAGACAGAGAGAACACAAAGAAATATTATATCCCAAATTTTCCAATTTTAGTGATTTTGTTAAATAAAGAAAGCCTTAAATTTAAGACTGGGCTACACCATTCTAAAGTGGGATTTGAAAGCAATGATGAAATAGGCTTCAGTGCTATTTGAGTAATTATCATACAATGAATATTGGCAATGAAGTAAAATCTTACCCAGATCTAGTCGTTTTGAATTCCACCTTGAGGATAGGTTTGCATGGCTCTGGCTTCTTCCCATCCTTTAACTGTTTTCCTAAAATATATTTTCCTGCATTAAATTCTAAAATTCTAAGTTAATCTAAATTCTTATATTGATAGTTTATAAAATGAAAGCGAAATATAATGAAATCCACCATGAAACATTTTAAAGTGATTTTGAAAGAAGTACTTAATACAAAATAAGATTTAAAATAATCAAGTAAACTTATTGTTTGAAGTTTCATGCTGAAAAGCAAATAAAACGAATAATTTAGTAACAACATTTATTCAATAATATGCTAGTAAGAAGTTGATAGTTTTCTCAATGTTCTTTATTGCAGGTAAGCAAAAGAAAATTTCAATTTGCTAAATGAATTCAAGTTTTAAAATAGCTCTATTTAAGAAAAATAAATCTAAATCATATTTATACCCAAGTGTGACAGGCTGTAAAATCAAACATATGCTAATAAACTCATTTATATTTATTCTCCTAAAGTAAAAATCCATCCACTGTAATGTCCAAAAGATTGCTGAAATAAACCAACCTATAAAATGTGTCAGAAACTCATACTGTTGAAGAATTTTGATTATTTTTAAAAAATGTTTGTTGATTTCTGCTATTTCTACATGTTCAATGTAGAAACAACTCAGAAAAATATAAAGAAAATAAAACATGTATTCCCATTTCTTAGATATTAATCATTCTCAACATTATATTATTCTTGGAGATCCCAAACACACCCTCCTGCCCCAACACCTCTCATCCTCTTTCCCAGCCTTTTCCCCCGCATAGTACCTAACTCACTGTAATATACTCCGTATTTTATTTTGTGTGTTGTTTGCGTCACCAACAAGCAAGTAAATTCCACGATAGCCAAGTTTTTAAGTGTGTATGTGTTTTCTGGTGATGATCTAGTGGGCATTCAAGAACTATTTAACGAGTGAATAAATTAATGATTTTTCTTTAGGACTAATTCCTAGAAAAGGGCTATCTGGATAGAACTGTATTTCAGAAAGGGTGTACCAATTTATACTTCCATCAAAAGCATAAGAGAGTATTCTGCTACATTCTTCCTGAACAGTGCTATGTTATTTTTTTTTCTGATTTGCTAAGTGGAAAGGGTATCTCATTTTAACTGGTATTGTTTTAATCCCTAACTGGAAATACTCTTAGGCTTTCTGGTCAACCCTATTTCTTTTAAAAATAGTTTATGTCTTTTACCCATGCTTATATGTTATCTTCTTTATATTTAAAAATAGAGCCAATATTCAAAGGTCATTAACATTCTGTCCATCATATGTTGCAAATATTTTCAGTAGCACCATCTGTGATTGAATTCTTAGAAATTTTTAAAAACTGCTCAGAAGCATACATTTAAATAATCAAGTCTATCAGTCTTAATCATGTTTCCAGTTAAGAAAACTTAAAATCTAAAATGTCAATCCTTCCAAGATCAATTATCAAATTTACTGTTATTAGAATTCCAACAGCTTTTCTTGGATTTAGACAAAAGGACCCTAAAGTTCACATGGTGGACTCAACGCCGATGAATAGCTAGGAAACTAGGGAAGGAAGCTGACTTCCAGAATGAGTGAGGACCTCCATGAACTCGCTCTCCTACAAATACTGAAATACTAGCAAAACAACGCAAGTTACTCACTTCAGAACTCTGGAAATCGACTGAAGCCACAAAACGAGTGCAACAGAGTCTACCCAACAGAAACAACAAACCTTGTAAGATGGGGGGACGAGGATGCTTTGATGGAGGGCTCTTCCCATCCCCCTCACTCCCCAGCCAATACTCGCACCCAACAGAGAGGACTGAAGTTTCTTTGCAATTCCGTTAGAACCAGCTTCCCTAGAGCACAATAATTTTTTGTCCCAACTCGCAGCTCCCTGGAAACTATTCCCAGGGCATTGTGACGGTTTCATCTGACACAGACGTAGCTCAGGGAGACCAAAGGTCCTATCTCCAGGGCATCTTAAACACAACAGCAATCTGCTGGCACTACCGTAGCGGCCTAAGGCTGTGGTTTCAGCTGAGGCAAGTGAGAGCCTGGGCAGAAATTAGGACGAGGTCCTGAAGAACCAGACACACTCCTTGGGACCTAGAAGGCTGCACACACTGTGTATACGCCCAGGAAGGACCGGCTGGTAAAGGAGAAGGCCCGGCCACTCATCTCTGGCCAACTGTGAGACGGTGAGCAAACAGGCAGTAAAAAAAAAAAAAAAAAAACACTAAAATGACAGAAAGTAAAACGACCCATAATACCTGCTGCTGGCAGGAACGTTGGAAAAGAGGTACTCATACGTGGCTGGTAGAAACGTGAAGGATATGGTCTTTTTGGAAAGCAGTTTGAGAACACTGCCTGCAAACAGAAATACCTAAAACTCTTTGAGGAGTAGCAATTCCACTCCTGAGCATTTATTCCACAGAGACAAAAGGACCAACTCCTATCGAATATGTACAGGATGGTAATGGCAGCATAATTTGTAGTGATCAAGAATTGAAAAGAAAGTGAAGTCCATTAACTTGAAATGGCTGAATAAATTGTGAAAAACTGTGAAACAATTTGCTATTACCTAACCATTAAAATGAAGGGATTAGAGCTATGCCAGATGACACAGAGAGATTTTCCTAAAGCACAGTGGATTTTAAGAAAAGATGCAAAAAAAAGACTAATAGAATTCTATTTTATGTAAAACAATGACAAAAAAAATCTCATATGTTTATATATGCGTGTGTTAAAATATATGGTTTTAGAAATATACATATTTTGGAAGAACATCTGTAAGATTTTTGACATAGCTTACCTAGTGGGGCAGGAAAGGGGACTGGGCTGCTGAGGCAGGGGAGGGTCAAGGGAGAACGGACCAGTACGGGATATGATCCTATTTATGTGTAATGATACACGCATGTGTGTGTATGTGTATGAAAAAAACCCATCAGCCTGTTTTGTGATTCCCCTTTTTGGTTTCATGCCTAGAAGTTCTTCCCCACCGCAAAATCATTTAAAAAAAATTTTTTTTTGCAATTTCTTAGAATTGCTTTAATAGTGTCATTTATTACATTTAATTATTTATTTCCTGAAGTATATTTTGGTATAGGGAAGGTATTTTTCCACTGACAATTTCAGCGCTATTTTTACAGTTCCACTGAGCTGTGACTGGCAGGCAATAAGTGCACAGATTTCAAGTGTACAACGTGACAAGCTGTGATATAAGGATGCCCCTGCCAGCGCTACTTATGAACCATCCTAACTTCTCCCACTGATAATGAAATGTCACCTTTATTATATTAAATTTTTATAAATATACACCTGCCAACTGGTACTGGAGCATCTAATCCTGCCTTAAGACCCTAGGAGATCGTCTCCTCCTCTCTTTATACGGACGTGACGGTGCAGTGGAATCCTGAACCTCTGGGATCCCAATTTACCAAGAAGTGACGAATGATAGAGCGAAGCAGAACACCAGGCCAAGAGACTGGAAAGGACTTGGGCGAGAAGACTGGTTTGTTGAGATGGGAGAGGAAATTGAGGGAAAAAGAAAGGTATGGAAAAAAAGAGGCTCAAATCTGAAAAGTAGTCCCTCGTGCTGCACAAGGAACAAAGTAAGAATTTCAACCTCTATTTCAATCTGTTCAGAGAAATATGGCCTTTCAGTAAGGAATTTAAATACGGCCTCTGAAGAAGGCCAACATCAGGCCTTTATCCTTCCACCACCCAAGGCTCTCATGAGAGCGTCAGACATATATAATTTGGGATGACAGATGCAAATTTTACATTTATTTCAAAAATTATTTTGTTGTATGCATTTTGTTTTATGAAGTAAAACAATTATTCAGATGTATCTTGATTTGACTTATTTCAATATTCACCACCAATCTTTCAGTGGCTGGAACAATTTTTAAGAGCACTGGGTGATGTATTGACTGAACCTCTGCAAGTCTGAGCTTCTGTATCTTGCATAAAATCTGGCTAGGTACAAAACTCTTTTGTCTTGCTCAATAGTCTTGATATTGCTCTACTGTGTTTAACACTTAAACTTATAATAAAGTTTAAAGCCAGTCTGATTTTTATTTCTTTATTAGTAAACTTTTTTTCTGCCCCCTGCAAGGATGCTAACAGAGTAAGTAGTTTCATTATCTCTGTAAGTGACCAATGTTGCAGTTTTTATAGTGATCTTTCTTCATTAATCTTGCTTCGAAATTAGTGAGTCCTTTTGATCTGCATCCTCTGATCTTTTTTTTCAACTCAGGTTTTTAAAATTATGTCACCAATTATTGCTTATGTTCCAGAAAGATTAATTTATTCATCTGTAATCCTGGACAAACCATTTTCTAAGTTAAATCAAGTTACAAGGCACTAAGATTCTATAAAGCACATGTAAGTTAAAGGATGTTCAGAGGATCACTGATTTCACCACTAGAGGTCGTTTTACTCCTTACTTGCAGTGCCACCCGAGTAGCAAAAATCTGTGCTAGTTTTTTCAACCACCTGTGAAATGCCTTGTTCAATCATTGAAAAGATCTGGTTAATTACAAAACTTGACTTAATAAATATATAAAACTCCACGTCACATCTGATTTCTTGTCTCTTACTATGCTCTGCTTCCCATTCCCATCAACACCCAGTTACGATGAATTGATCGAAGCCCTGTTGAATCTAATTCCAGAATTTTATTTCTGTATGTCCATTTCTTCCCATTTGCTGTCACAGTTGAAGTCTTCATTATTTGTTGCTTACAATAGCTTCCTAATTGGCCTCCCTCTTCTGCCCCCAGCTCAGCTGATGCACTACCATCCAAGTAGTATTTCCAAAATATAAATTTTACGTTTCTCATTGTAAAATCATTTACTAGGTCTCTACCACAAAGACCAAACTCTTTAGCATACTACGTTGTATACATATTCTTGCCTCCATATGTGGTTCTGTCTTCCTTTCTTGCTACTTGCTCAAAGGAATTTTAAACTCTGGTCATACTGAACTATTAGCAGTTTTCCAAGAATACCCTGCTTTTGGTTATGTCTTCGTACCTTCCGACTAAAATAA